CTTGAACTCATAGATGAGACGAGAAATGTGCACAGACATTAGACAACTTCTACAAAATAATATAACATATTAGGTTATATATTATAACATATAATAGTATAACATATAGTATAACAAAATAGTATAACATTAGGCAACTTCTACAAAATAATATAACATATTAGTATAACATAAAGCAGAACCAGAGAGCACTTCATAGCTATACAAATATATCAAGAAATATTAAAAGAATGAAAAGAAATAAGCCAAGTTGATTAAGAAAACCAACACAAATGCACACATAGTAATAAAGAAGACATAAATCAGAAGGGCAATGATGGAAATTCCATGCATATAACAATAATTGTGATTATAAAAATAAAAATTATAAACTTTTAAAAAAACAATAAAATAAACTGTTATTTTATGCAATAATAAAGGAAAACAGCAAAAATTATAAAGAATAACTAGCTATCATCTGAAAATTTAAATGTTATCTTTTCACACATATTTAAAAATAAAATTTAAAACCTTAAATTCTTAAGATATTTCCACATCCTAAAATTCTCAATAAACTTAGAAGCTTATCAGAGCAATATGCAAAGAATAGATGGAAAAGCTAGCAAGGAATTACCTCTTTAAAATGGGATCAGGCCCACATGATTTCACAGGAGATTTTACCAAAATAAGTTGTTATCCCACTAGTAAATGAAGTAACCAATAATTACACAAGGATAAATCAGCAATGAAGATAAACATTGAAAATGATTTGTATTTATAGATGTTATGGAACTAAGAAATTCAAGACACATCATGAAGAGTAGCTCAACTACAGTAGTAAAATAATGTAACAAGGGAAATATTTTAAAACACAAAAATACATAACCTTTATATAAGCAAATGATAATGTAGTAATTTATTTTGATATGGAGATTTAGTGGTCCAATAATAGTATTTATCTGATTCATAAATGTAGTCTGCTTTGACTGAGACTACAAAATACTTCCTAAAACCCACTTCTTGTGCTGGCTGACTGTCTCACTGCTATTCATCTTGCTGAATTCAGTGATATAGTCTCCTAAATATAAACTGCAAAACATAGATTAGCAACTGTTTCGACTGTGAACAAATATCAGAACATAATAAATTCATCTTCATATCATTCAGAGTTTCATTTAAAAATTTCAAATAAACACATAAAGATTTTATTAAAAATTACTACTGGTGAATTCTGAAAACATAAAATATCTGTTAATTTAGCAGGTTTTCTAAACTGCAGAGAAACTTGCCCTGATGTTATTGTGAAATTGTTCTTTTCTGGAGTTTTCATAGACGATTATTGTTATGCTTTATAGAACAATAATGACAAGCCATTCTGTTTTTCATATATCTGTAAAATTTATTTTTCTTACTATTGGGCCAGCATTTTGTTTTTTCTGTAATGTATTTTGTGAGTTCAAGGTTATGTTTGGTATGTTGGTGTTGTTACTATCAAATGGGTTAACATTCAAGTGTCAAGAAATTTATGGAATACTCTTCCAGAGAGTAATTCCATTTTACATGGCAAGATTGGAACAGCTAAGGTGAATATTAAGTATTCCTAAAAGGTAGATTTGATCAAGGTTCCCAAATGCTTTCAAATTACTTTGTTCATGAATGTCTTAGTTTTCTGATCAAAAGACAAATTTCTGACTCAATTGATAGTTCTAAAGCAAGTAATTTGGGAAAGTGTCAACATTGTCTACCTATGTCAACATTGGGTGCATATGTGTACAAGAATAAACCAATGTATTAAGATAGTATAAACTCAGTACAATTGAAATCTCCATAAAAAGAAACAGAGCTGTGATATTTGGGTTCTTAAAAGAGAAATTCTTTAATATGGAGTGATAAAATCCACAAAATTTGAGGATTTAAATGTAAATATCATCGAACAAATAAAATTTAGATCTAACAAGCCAATAAGCATTTAACAGATTGCTTATCTCCAGCATTTAGCTTAGTAAGTGTAATAAAGTTTTATGTTTATTCTTTCCCCTTTGAGTTTCGATAGCTTTATTCTGTGCAATAAACTGGTAATAGACAGATTACCAGGAAAAAGCCAAACAAAGTTTATGAATGCACAGAAACATAGGGAGCCACACACAGAGGAGGACTTGACTCAAGATAGGGCTTGAGAGTTGGAGTTGATATAGAGCTAAACTAAGGGGCAGGGGCTTGTGGGTGGGGAAGGCAGGTGACAGCAGTCTAGGGCTGGTTCAGGGAAGGGTAATAATCATCTACTGTAATCCCTGTCTGTCCCTAGTGTGAGACTCCCAATATGTTCTCCTGATAAGATCTGCTCTAGGCAGAAATGACATTATGACTATCAGGCTTTAATAATTGAATTGAAAGCTCTAAGTATTTAAGAGAGATGTTGAGCATTCTTAGAATTGTTAAACTAGAACTGGGCTATTTTACTGTGAAATTATATCAATAAAGAGAAAAGGACTAAAGTATACAACTGGACTCAATTACTGAACTCAATATAGCAAGTATGAGTAGTGATGTACAGTCAGTGAAGAGGATGGGGGTTAATTAGTGGAAAATTACAGAGAAGAAACATTAGGGGTGATTAGGGGCTTGTGGTTGAGTTTATTGAATAGGATTCTTGTGGAAGGCAAGCCCAAGTGAATAGGTATCCAGGGGATGGTGAGAGATAAAGAATTTGATCAGATGCTGAAGGTGGGTGACAAGATACAAAGTGTAGCAGATGCCCTCAGAACTGATTTAGCAAGACTCTTGCTAAAACTGAGTTATAAAATGGTGTTACAAGAGGGTTATCAAAATATGATCACAGAAATTGAGGCCTTAGTATAAGTGGGTTCAGAAAAGCCTGACTGAACTTTGGTGAAGGAGTGAGTTACCAAAAAGAAGTGAAGACCAGCCTAAACCATAGGCTGAAGACAAGCTCAGGGATGCAAAGTACATGATCAAGTCTGTGAACAAGATTAAGATTTGGGTGGTGGTGTAAGTTAATATTGAAAAATACTGTGAAAACTGTTTATGAAAGACCACATACACTAGCATATCATGTTAAAGATTATCCTAACAGCTGTTGACGTGTGAGTGAATTTTTCTTTTACAATGATTCTGGTATCATTATAAAAGTTCTGATGGAAAGAAGGAGAATATTTACAGAGGGAACAGTTTTGAATTTAATAAAATAGATATGCTGAAGAAATGTAAGATTTCTGAACTAATGGGATCTCAGAAGAAAAAAAGATATATTTGAAAGATATTTTGAAAATAAAATGAAATTTCATGGTTATGCCTAGACTAATATAAGAGAAGAGTGCAAAGACATTCTTAGGATTTTTAACCTAGATCATTGACTACCATAGCAAACAGGTGTATATATCTTTGTTTTGAGCTAAATAGAATGAGGATATTCTCATTTTAATTTTAAATTGACTGAATTGAAACTATTGTTAAGTTGCAAGTACTGACTAGCCAAATTTATTAATCAGTATAAGCCCGAGTCTCTGACCTTTGTGTTCTAATTCGACAGAAACCATCTGATGACAGAGAGAGAGGCAACTTCCACTGAAGCACGGGATAAAAGAAAAAAGAAAAGAAAAAAATCCCCAAATAATTCTTTATGTACATTTAATAAACATGTTGCTTTTAGTTTGTTTTTCTGAAATATTCTAACTCCTAAGGCTATCTGTAAGGAATGTTCATTTGCATTTCAATCATTTCCCCAAACTGTCAAGCTAACACTTTAATGTGCAGACTTTCTTTCTCAGTGCTAGGAAAGGAAAAGGGCATCCATGAAAATGTTCACAAATTCTCTTCTACAGGGTTAGGTTCCATTTTTTGTGCCCATTTCTCAGCAGGTTTAGATAAGTGCCTTTTACGTGTTTGTGGAATTTAATGTCACCTTTCCTGATCTGAATATCAGTTACACTGTGAACATATTGTTAAAGAGAACCAGAGCTGGATAGTACAGTAGTAAAGATACATTTTTTTTCAAGAACTATTGCAAAAGAGGAAAAGAAAATTAAGTATAGAAATGGGCTCAGTTCTTCATATGATAATGACTAGTGAGGATTCACTAGAACAGGGGTGGAAAAGGAAGGAGAGAGGGTTTGCACTGGTGGATGGAAAATTACTAAGAGGTGACATCCAGGGTAGGAATATTCTTTCTAAGTCAATTTAATAGGATTCTTGCTAAAGGTAGGACTGGGTGATCAGATGTGATCTCATCTAAATTGAGTTAGTAGAATGTTTGCTGCAACTGAGCTCTGTAAGCTCTGCAACGATGCCAGAAACAAAGACCAAGGTTGAGGTCTATTTAAGAGGAAGGCTCACAGGGTCTTGACTAAAGTTGACTTAGAGACTTCCAATGCAGAGCTATGAAGAAGAAGAAAAAAAAGATAGAACTATTATGTATTGTGTTTTTAAAATTTGCTGTTTTACTTTATTGCACATATCATATAATATTAATGACTTGGAAAGAATATGGAAAGTTTAGAATTAAAGAAAAAGTAAAGGAAAATATAGTAAATAATATACATCAGGCAAAGTAAATGTGAAATCGGTTACCTTTAAAAATAATATAAGCAAGAACTTTTATAGCTAAAAGAAACCTGAGATTATTTCCTTACTTTCAAGATGAGAAAGGTTTGTCTTAGAGGATATTTAGGTGCTCTAGTGGAAAGATCTTGATCTTCAGCAACTCTTTAACCAGAGAAAGCTAAAAGAAGCCTTACAGCTAGTTTGTATACTCATCATAACAAGAACTTCCTTATTTTTACTTTAATTTAATTTTGAAAATACAGTTATAATTTGAACATATTATTCCAAAGAAGCACCTAGCATTACGTGTTACCTTTTCCCTACCCAGAACTTGGCCCTTTTGTCATTTTGTGCTCACACAAAGAAGTTACTCACAAGAACCAATTAAAAGATTGGTGAAATTTCTTGGTGAATGACAGTCATGAATGAATGAATTTTTATTAAATTCTTTTCTCTTTCAGCAATGACAATGCAGTTTATTAGTCACCAATTCCCTGATTATCATGACCCTACTATAGGTAAGTAAAAGTGTTCTTCCTTCTTTAGCTCAAATTAGTAACTTATGAATATTCCTGATGCTGATGAAGAATAAAAAATGTAATTTATGTCATGGTCCAGAACACATACACAGAAATGTACAACATGAAGTTTACCATAATGAAAGACTCAAGAGACATGTTTTGGTATGGATGTAGCCTTGGAATTTTTATGCTATTTATTCTGGTAGATAATGGTTGTACTCCAGTAATTTGATCTCAGGATCTACTAATTGAGATGTACCATTGAGATGTACCATTTCAAAATGAGATGTACCATTTCAAAACTAATTTGAGATGTACCATTTCAAAAACTAATTTGAAAAAACATGCTCTGAATAATATAGCTGCTGTGATTATAAGTGTATTTTGGTCAGTTGCTCACTTTCATCAGTTTCTCAATTTTATATCACAGAATTCTGTAACCATGTTAATAGTATATTTGGGGTTTTTAGATATGAAAATGATTTCCTCAAACATCTTCACCTTAGAGATAAAGAAAATGAGATTTGGAGAGTCAAAATGTTGTTAGAACACAAAATTCATCCATGTTTAAGTATCTGTCAGCTTGGGGCTTATTTTTGCAAGGAAAAACAATATGGTGCAAGACAAACTTATGATTATTTATAATAGTCATCCAAAGAATGATATACAAAAGAGTGCAGGAAATCTGTCCACACACTATAGACCAAGAATCCAGCTGAGGGCCTGGATCCCATGATAATGTTCTGCATGAGTCCAGTTTAAGACCTAGAGTTCATAACAGTGCCTCCCACTAATCCACCTGCAGTCCCAAAGCTCATGACAAGGTCTCATGCAGGCCTGTTTCACGGATCTGCACTGGGAAGGACCAAACATCAGTGGTAGAATCTAGGAAGTCTGTACAAGTGAGATGAAGGATTTATGCTAGCAGGCTGAGGGATTTGCACTGGAGCCAAGAAGAAACACTCAGAATAACCAGAGCTCCCCTGAAAGGCACCACAGCCATCCCCAGCAACAGTGAGGTCCGATTATCAAGATGGCTGAGTTCCCAATAGGGAAGCCAAATCAGTGAACCTCTCCAGGTGCACCCACAGTGCACCATCTTCCCCTCTGGAGCCAGGAAGCGATGCTCAAAGTGAGGACCAGAGCTCCTCCAAAGTGAACCAAAGCCTTTCTCAGTGCCAATGAGGTCCCGAGCTCCTCAGAAGATGAAAACAGCCAAGTTCACCAAGAAAGTCAGCATGACGAGCTCCTCCAAAAAGCCAACAGCTCCTTACAGCTTCCACCAGCTCCAACAGCCTTTCTCTGTGCCCAAAGGCCTCTTTAGTTCCAAAAGCCTTTCTTCTTCTTTTCTAGGTCTGCCTCTTATGCTGCTGGCAACAGTCCCCAGGTGGGCCTCCCACACCCAGCACCACACTTACTCAGTTCAGCTGTGGGTTATAAGTTGACCACCAGTGGTTAACCCACTACAGTCCCTCTATGTAATTTTCTTTCTAGCATAGTACAGTGCAGAACCTTTGTATTGCAAAGCAATTTTATCCCCCACTCAGAGAAGGAAAGCTTTCTTTAAAATTGTTCATTTAAAGAATAAGTTGAAATTCTCAAGCAATCTATTCATTGACAAGAAACACATGGGCATTGAAAACACAAAAACCATTATTTCCCATAGAGGAATGCATATGGGTGCAGGGCCCCTCAGGTGACTGCTTGTAAGGACAGTGAGAGCCTTTAAGGATGCTCTCTTACCTCATTTGTTATCTAAGTCTGAGTGTCTCTTGTCCTCACCTCCCATGTGTAAGATCTAGTTTCTCTCTGCTCATCAAAAACTTTGGGAGGTTGGAAATGTGGCTCAGTGTTCAAGCTCTTGACTTGCATGCATAGGCCCTGGGTTTGATCCCCAGTGCCACAAAGAAAAGAGAATTTTTATTCAAGGCTTTATGGATGTATAAAATATTATTCAATATATAAAGCACCTATATTCCTTCCTGCAAATCCTACAGAATATTTACATTAATACTACTACTAAAATATACAAAATAGAAAAAAAAATGTAAATGTCTGATAGCTCTGCAAGGATATAAGAAGAGGATCAGTAGAACTGACTTAGTAATATTTAAGTTCAGTTGATTGGTATATTGATTTTTTGTTTGTTTTTTATTTTATCTGAAAGGAAAGAAAAAAACCACAATGGTATAAAATTTCAGACAAGATTGTAGGAGAGTAAGGATGGTTAGTATATTGCTTATTGTTATCTTCAAAGCAGTTGTTCAGGTATAGGTATAGGATACACTATTAGCCATAAAGGACATCTTCAAGAAGATAAGTTTTATTTCTGAGAATAATCACTATGTGAAGTTTAAGCAGTGATAATTGGTAACCCTTGTATGATAATTCTTTCTTGTTTTCTATAAATCTTGAATCTAAAATGCTGGGTAACTTTGTGTCACTGTCTATGAGTTACAAAAATAAAGAAATCTGTAAATAAATTCTTTATCTTTTATCATAAGAAAATTCCATAATATATACAAGTTTTATACCACAGCTTCACTCTTGTGCCTTGTTTTCTGCCATCATTTAAGTTTTATATGTATTGGTATCTCAAAATATGGTCCCTTCCTCACATCTCCCAGGTCTAATAGCTTGAATGGGGAAGTATACGTAAATATTTAATAAATGACTCCTTTAAGAGGAATAAATGAGAAGTTGGTAATGATGATTTCTATAGATGCACCGGAGGCACATCCATCACCTGACATTAAGGTTTTGGACATTTGTTAGTAACAGATAGCTGAAGTAATATCTTTGTTTGGCCATAAGTAAAGTAGTTTTAAATGAAGAAGTTTGAAAATGGAAACAGGCTATTATTTTCAATTCAATTTTCCCATCATCACCTCTTTTTTGGCTTCTCTAAGTGTATTAGTTAACAATTTTCCATTATTATCCTGCATGAGTAAGATGAAAGTAACAGATAATTTAGTTTATAGCTGCTCTGGCTATATAACTATAGCTGAATCTGGCTGAGTTAATGACATTTCAAGAGGAAATTCATGTTGGTATAGTTTTAAAAATCTTACAAATTAGAGAAGAATTGTACCTATCACGGAATACTAGTTCACAATTGAGATAGTAAATGAGTGTCTTTCAGTGCTGTCCAGATCTATTTTCTCTTCCCAATGACTGGCTTGTTTTTTAGTATGTTTCCTTGAAATATTTGAGAAATTTGTATCCCTTAAACAGAGTAATCCTTCTTTCAGACATGTATTTGAAATTCTAGGTTCTTTTTATAACAAGATTAGGGATATTATCTGAGAGTAATGTTTTTACAAAAGAAATAATTGTTCTTATTTACTGGCAACAGTTTCAGTCAGTAGCTGAGGATTTCGCTTCTACAAATGCACAGAAGATATCTATGGTATAATATAAATGTATTGATTCTATTCCTCCAATGGGGGAAGATTTGATGCAGATACTTAATTTGTATAAGTTTAATTTAGTCTTTAAAATAGAACATCTCAAACCAGTAGATATTATGCTAAATACCGCTTGATTTGTCCATGGTAAAATTACTGTTGAAATAGGAAGAAGTAATATTTGACCAAGGGTCTGATATCTAACCTTTTATGCTAATAAACACAAATGCCATATTTAATAAATCATTAGAGACACCCATTGTATACCATTAACTCAGCAATACATTAAACCACTACTCATTGCAAAACAGTCTGTTTGTCTTCCAGAAGTGGAATATTAAAATATCACAGTTCATATCTTCTAGAGTTTTTCAATTCAGGAAGAGGATTTCAGACAAATTCCCAAATATTTCTACATTTTTAAATCATCACTGTAATAAATCTGCAAAGTACTGCTTGAAAGATTTATTAAAGAATGGATAAGCAGTTTGTTGCCTTTCTTGAAAGTTTTATTGACTTTGGACTGGGATCTTCGCTTCTTATATATTTGTAAAAATAAACAAAGGAATTCCTGAATTCCTAAAATTCAGGAATCCTCTTTAAAGAGAACTTTCATAGACATCAGATCTTCTTAAAGCCTTTTGAAGAGAATGTCCTAGCATTGTTTGATTTAGTGTATCCTTTTAGTCTTATTTTAATTTACTTGAAGTTAGAGTGTTGTTGTACAAAATTCTAATCAAACATAAATTAAAAACTGAATTTTTTATTCAGTTTTTAAGTTGCTGAATTTTTTTTCTTGCAATGGAAGATGGGCTTTCTTACATTACTACCAAAGGTATGAAAATAAATGTTAGGCTTTCATTTGTGGACAGTGCATTTTAATCTGAATTATTGTTCAAGATGTCTTTTTTTTGACTTTATCTTTTCTTCTGATACCAGGAATCAAACTCACGACCTTGTGCTTGCCAGGCAGGTGCTTTGCCGCTGAACTAAATCTCCAGCCCCTTGTTCAAGATGTCTTTATAAGCTTAGAATGATTTCTGTTCATTTTTATGGTTAATTACATGAGAATACACATAACTATGGAAAACCAGGTCATGTTCATTCAAAAGTAACTACAGATGGGAACAAGATACAGTATCAGTTTACCCTGAATATAACATCGGTACTGCACTGAAAATTTTCAACTTTGAAACATTTTTTTTTCCTTGTGCTTACAGAGTTTCTCAATTTTTGTGTAAATCATGTGTGTAATAAGTGATTATATTACAATACCCTTGAAGTATACATATATATATATATATATATATATATATATAGACCCAGCATTTCTTTATGATAAAATTAACTATGTGCAAATCAGTGACCAGACATGTTTATATCCTTGAAGTATATTTATATATATAAAATCTCTCATGTGCCAGGTATCACGCTAAACATGTCATGTATAGAGGTCAAATACAGCCAGTGACTTAAAAGCACTCCCGGACACGTGAAGATGATATAGAGGTAAACGACGCCATAAACTGAGTTCATAAGACAAAAGAAGCATGAGGTGCTGGAAAACAGCAATGCAGGTACATCTCATTT